CCTTATACACACCATTCTCCAACATACCAAAGTGGTGGAGTTCAAGAGTACACAACTCTTCTTTATCTACCACATTACACAAAGGTATGCTTACAAACAATTTCAATGATAATGAGGACAAAGTAAACAAGAAAGACAAAGTAAGTGTAGGCATGTGCAAGTGTGAAATCACTTCCATGACAAACCGACAGAAATGGGACCACATACAATAATAAAGACTCCAACTACATTTTTTTCCACCTTAAAGCCAAAACTTCATTGTCAACAACAGGACCACACATTTGCAAACATAATATATTGCAATATAAAATGCAGAAGGAATATTTAGGTTATAGTAACTTATCATACTTTGGGGGTTCTCTAGACCACCGAAAAATTGTCTCCATTTGAAGAAGCCTCCACACACTGTAGACCTGACACTTTTCTATGTGATTTTCATGAAACTGAAATCCTATATTTGTACTTTATCGCTCTTTTAACTCAAAATACTTCACTACTTAGTCCATTAATGTATAATGCTGAGATAATGTTCCAAAATCCCCCAAAAATCGAAAGTCCAATGCCTCTCGATTAGAAAACCCTAGACGCGATTTTCCCCTTTTGCTCAGACTGCCATTTCTGTGCAACTATCGTTCTCTTCAAAACCAAAAGATTCGTTTTAATTAACTGAAAAGTCATAATTGCCCCTCATGAATTTATGAGATTCTCACAGATGCTTACCACGTCATCATTTTAAACGGAAAAAACTAACGGACTTGACGAAAGGACTACTGGTGCAATAAAACACACAGTTGAGTGACCTTTGCAACTAATAATTAAATTTAGTGACCCAAATGCAACTACGGGTATAGTTAAGAGACCATTGCTGCAAAAAAACTCATTAAAGTGTTTGATTATATTAAACTTGACGACAAATGAAATTTAAGTAAACCACATGACTTTTTTTTGGGGTCCGAAAACCACAGGACTTCAAATCCCGAAATTGAAACCACATGAAAATGAAAAAGTTCAAATACAAAAAAATTAAAATAAAACAAAACACCCATAATTGTATTGCCTTTTTTCTTATATGAAAAAATATATAATCGTATTGCTTTCATATTTTCATAAAAGATATGGACAGTGGGTGACTAAAGTGACAACTATTTTAATGAAATAAACATAATAATTTATAAAATATCTGTTTGATAATTATTTTCTCTTTTATTTTTGTCATTCATGGGTCCAATATCGCCTGTAATCTAATTATGATATGTTTTCACCTAAGAAATCTAGTCATCGTTTTATTTGCTAACAAATCCAATCATGAAATCTTTTTATAAAAAATGGTTTACTTATTGGAAAACGACATATGCCCAGCTGTGCTGTCATAAAAAATCATAACCCCTCTTTTCCTATGAGTATGACCGTCCCACCTAACAAAATTTCTAGTTGAACCTATCTCTCAACTGCTATTATTTGTTCCCATGCTGCACGCTGAGATTCTAGCTTGAATTTAGACTTGGTGGGGGCACTGTGGAGGAAACTAATGAAGATGCGGCGACCGGCGGTTTTGTTCAGAGTAAATTACATTTTACACCCTCGAAACAGAGGTTATTATATTTCCATTTGGTACCCGACTATCAAAATCTTACAATGTGCACCTCGTCTTTGCCTCTTTGCACTTTGGTCCCCCATTAGAAATTCCGCCAGAGGCGATGGACGTCATAAATGGAGCCCATACTCTCGCTGGGTGAGAAGAGAAGCAAGATCTGTCATGATGTATGGAGGGGAAGGGGAAGGAGGAACGGTGAGAGAGAGCAAGGAGTTGCAGGTGGAGACATTTGTTATGTTGAAATGTAGGCAACGGAGGAGGACTAAAATTGCAATTTGATGTAAAGGTGATGGTGCACATTGTAACATTTAATAGTCGAACAACATGACATGTAGTTTCGGATTATAAAATGTAATTTAGTCTAATTAAAGAATACTATGTACTTATGTCGCAAGTAAGTAAATAAAAAAAGATTTATGTACGAAAATTATTATGTGTATATTCTGTTTTTTGCTATTATAATGAAAAGTAATTGAAACATGTTTAGTTCAATACAGAGAGAAGTGGCAAAAAAATAATCAAGAAATTAGTAAAGACACCAATGTGTTCTAAAATCTAAATGATTCTAATAGAATATTCCAAACAGGTATCCGGATCCATATCTATATACCTTTTTTTTTTCATATAGATGTTGTTCTTATATAGCAAGCATTTCCCATGTGATCCTTAAACATACAGCAACCATGGATAATTTAAGTGGGGTCAGGACCAGCTTGTTAATTTAATGAGAAAATTGTGCAGGATATAGTAAGTACAGCAGTCACATGCTACCGCTTCGACATGATATTATTTATTAATCCTTGATTTTTTAGTTGTTGACAAGTGATAGGAAGTCATCACAAATATATATTGTCCACAATAAAACTGCATCACAATTAAGTATCGAATTCATCATAAATGTATATAGTTCTCGTTATCTATGTGAATCGAACTTGAAATCTCCCTCCTTCAACTACCGTGAGACAGATACCACTAAACGACCCTTCAACCAAAAAATAAGAAGAAATCTTTGACAGATCTTTGACAACCCCTTTTTCCAAATTCTAAGTGTCTATAAAGCCACAGCACAAATTTTTTATTTGCAGAGAGCTAATAATTTGATGGGGGATCACAGGGAGGACATTAGGTTTGGTAACATGTGCATGTCAGTATATTAAATATTTAGGTTGAATTTTGTCGGTCTTGCTAATAATTTGATGGGGATCACATCACATCTCATGTTTGCTGCATTTTACTCGAAGAAGGAAGGACTAAGTTGATTTTATTTTTAATAACACTATTCCTAAAATATCTACTTTATACAAGTTTTAAGGAAAGATTCTTTGATTAAAATTAGTAAGAAAATTGTTTGCGAGAAAAGTGTGTTTGTTCTATTTTGAGTGAATATTAAGGGAACTCATGGTTCATTGGATTTATTTGAGATTTTGGTGATATAAATTTGGAGTGATATGGATATAAAAATTTGTAGTGTTTGGGGCGAATTTGGTTGAGATGATGAAACGGAGATTATCTTAGTGTTGAATTTGGTTGGTCGGAACCATTAATTCAAATTTAGTTGCAATTACATATAGTGGGAGGTTAAATTGCCTATGTACTCGACCAAAACGAGTAGATCACTTATGTGGGTGGTTTTTGTTCTGCTGAGTTTTTTAGTAGGAGATTTGAGAATCATGTGCTATTTTCATATTTGAGCCCAACAATCCGAAATTATGTGGATTTTGTAATGGACAAGTCCATATTAGACTTCGACACAAATTAGTTGCCAATTGAAATCTGCAATGGGCTTTCTTTCATGGCCTAATCCTTGTGTTGAATGAAAGAGTAGCAGCTTTTGGATTTTTCATCTACCTTACTTGTTTTGCCAAGCCCAAGGTTTTGTTTTTATTTGCCTTGATGAAACCCAAGGATTTGGACTTATTGGTTGAATTAATTTATTGACTATGTCCTTCTTTTGTCTTCTTGTGGGGGCAAAGGACCTCTCTCCGTCTATAACTTTCTTGCCGTTGTATTCTGGATACAAAGGCTTTTTTTCTTTTCTTTTTTGTTGCTTCCTATTTCTTCCATGTACGGGTGCGTGAAGGATGTCACCAAATGTCACATTACTTTTGCTTTAACTAAATTGAAATCTCTGACTTTGTTCTTCCCGTTTTCGACTTCATGCTGCAGCGAGAGCAAAACGAGCTAATTTATGAGTCACAGTTGGCTTCTCTAAAAACAAATCGACAGGCACCCTTGGCATGAGAGAAAAAGGAGCCGGCAAATCCTCTACTAAGCACCGCAAATCAGAGGTATCTGCACCACGCGAGTCCAAAACAGCTGATATATACATACCTAGCATCTCCCTCCACGACGAAATACCCAACACTCTGCTGAACAGCGAAGAGCGGGCCTGCAACTAGGGCAAGCACCTCTGCATGATTGGGAGACAAAACAGACCTGAAAAAGCAAAGAGCAGTTGCTGCAATGATTCCTCATACCACACAACCACCTAACTCACCCTGTATTAATTCCACACGAACACTCGCACTCGTTTTTATACATATATATACAAACAGAAAAAGAACGCAAAAGGACAAATGACTGGTTACTCATTCCACTAATGTCATAGACATCAAAGAAACAGTATAATTGTCAATACAAAAATCTTCTAATCTCATGAATGCTCACTACTAGAAAACACGCGGAGGATCTGAGACTAGTATAGCAAGGGCTAGACAATGTATTTGCAGCCATGGGTTGGCTACGGATAAACCACATATTACATCATTGTGTTTTTTACATGGTATTGTCATTAAGAGAGAAGAATAACAACTTAATCACGGTGGTATATATGCTTCTTGAGAAAGTAGAAGACATTTTGAGAGATTTAGTTGAGAGATTAAGAGAGGGACATACATAATCATCTTCCCTAAAAACTCAGCTAATGGATTTGTGTAAGCTAACTGCAAACTCACTATGATTAGTTACAACAATTTTTCCAAATTAAGTCAAACAAAACAATCCATTCGATCTATAAAGGTGATATCACGATATTAACCAAGGACTAGCAATTGAAATTTCTCCTACTCTCAAGAGCATGATTCACATCACTAAGCTGGAGGATCTTGCCAGACTATCGAGACTTTTCCCAATGAAAGTGTGCTCTCCATTTTTATTGCCTCATTAAGGCACTTTTAACACAACTGAGAACATTTCCAACTAAACCATATTTGTTTGGATTTTGGAATTTTGGCATTCAATTCGTCAATCTTGTTATGAGCTGATTGATGTATGCCACAACATTAGCAAGCCACCAGCTCTTTTTGAACATATTGGGAACGACATACACGATAGAAGACATAGAATCGATGATTAAGTTTGTCTCTCCTCCGGCTTTCTGCCTCAGCATGGTTTAACAATGCCAAATCTCTTCCATTGGTTGATGATCTCCCTTTCTTTTTGATCAGAGTGTTCGTTGTATTCTCGGAGGTGAAATATTGACAAGAGCTAAGACGGCGAGTCTCTGCAATGCCCTACGTTTATGACATGGCAGTACTACTCCTAGGATTGCAACAACAGATCTAAAAATGTAAAACACTGCAGGCATAGATGCATGCGTAGGTAGATAGGTGTCCATTATTAACTTCTCAACCAAAGAATTACAATTTTTTTTCTATTATATATATAGCTGCTCTAAGAATTAGAGGCATAGGTGCATACTTAAGTCACAACACTGAAGGCCTCTCACTCACTTAATTTCTTCTTCCACTGCTTCTCAACCTCTGTCTCTCTTTCTACTTGTTAATTCTTACTTGTTTCCTTACACTTGTTACATACACAATTACATAAAACTGATTTTGTAGCAACAAAAAGAAAAAGTCAGGGAAGAAGTTATGTATGGTCATATTCTTGACCCAATTTTGGTCAAGAAAACTGGGCCATATTTCAACAACTCTTTTTGAGCTCCGGAAAACATCCCATTTTCGAGAAGAGGAACAAGTACTGCATCGCCCTCACGTCTGCCCTGCTGCGAGACCCTCTTGTTGTCTGATCCAAAGAGTGATTTTGATAGGTACACAAGATCCCAATCTTCTTTGATGACATCCAAAGAAGCCAGTTCAAGCACCGCACATGAAGTTGCAACGCAAACCAAATTTTGAATTCCATGCATCCTGGTTTCTTTTACTCTCTCACACTCATAAATCTGAAGCTCATGAGCACCTGCAAGCCAAACAAAACCACAAACAGAATGAACGGCCCCGAATATATATTATTGGTGGCATGGCTTGCAGCAAATGACTAGGTCAAAGAAACGCTGTAAAAGTAAAATACATCTCCATGATCCACCAGCCTCATCTCCAAGTCCACCATATGTCTCCATGGAAAAGAGCTTCTTGAGCTTCTCTGCTAGTCACCTTATTTGGAAATTTCCAAAGAAGATTGGGGTCTTGTGCACCTATCAAAATCACTCTTTGGATCAGACAACAACAGGATCTCGCAGCAGGGCAGCCGTGAGGGCAACGTAGTACTTGTTCCTCTCCTAGAAAAGGGATGTTTTCAGGAGCTCAAAAACAGTAGTTGAAACATAGCTGAGGTTTCTTCACCAAAATTGGGTCAAGAATATGACCATATAACTTCTTCCATGGCTTTTTCTTTTTGTTGCTACAAAATGAGTTTTATGTAAGAGTTTACGTAACAAGTGTAACAAAGCAAGTAAGAATCAAGAAGTAGAAGGAGAGACAGAGGATGAGAAGCAATGGAAGAAGAGATTAAGTGAGAGAGGCTTTCAGTGCTGTGACCTGTGAATTGCGATGGGAAATGGGTGTTAATAAAGGGAGACCTTTGCCTCCACTGTTTAGAGCGGTTTTTAATTTTTGTTTTCTTTTTTGTCTTTTGATCATAAGGGTCACCTCCTGTATCATTGGGATCTATGCCCTGCAGTTCCGTTTGGAATTGTTGTTGAAGTCGTAGAACTTGTGCTGCCACGTGATAAACATTGCTACATGATTCCTCACTATAAATACCTTTTTATAGAGACATTATTGAGAGTGTTGTCTCACATTTAAAAAATAAGGAAAGGGTTTAGCCAAGTTGAGAATGCAAACATTGGCTTAGTCAAGTTAGTATTGCCAATTGATTTTAGGATGGAACCTCAATTTCATTCATGGTATCAAAACAAGGCTTTCCACGTGTTGAGCCCAATGGTCACACATACTCCCACGTCACACATATATGTGTTGTCCACATATTAGACTTGAAAGTTTGCCACATGTGGTGGCATGTTGAGAATGTTTATTATTATTCATTTTGCATGACTTTATGTTTTTACATTTATTGTAAAATCAATAACTGAACTAAATGAGAATTAAAGTACAAGTGGCTTGTAACTCAAGTGGTTAAGAGCATTTACCCATACATTCGAGCTTCTATGTCCAATTCCCTCCCACTAGAACTAAGTTAATGACTATAGTGGGTTGTAGCCCAATGATGTTTTTGGGTGGAAAAAAAAAAATTCAAACCTATATATTTGGTGTGTTTAAATATAGTCCAATATGTATTAATTTATTAAGTCCAACAAATTCCAATTCTTTATGAATATAGTTGCATAACAACAATAAAAATACATATTAAAATAGGTACACTTTCAATTTTGTTGTTGAACATATTTTCATTTTGATAATATCTGTTTTTTTTTTTTTTGGTTGCATCTAATATGTAAGTACGATATGTATGTATTTATTTTATGTTAAAGCTTAATGGAAATTCATTAATGGAGCTATGAATTAGCTTATTTATATTATTTAATGTATACTTTTATTTCTAAAAAGACTAAAGAAAGTTGTGAGTATAAAAACAAAAAACAAAAAACAAAATTGATTTAACCCTAAATCTTTTAGCTAGCCCACTCATTGAAAAATTCATAACTCTGCCCTTGTTTCCTCCTCTCTCAATATCACGTATCTAAAAAGAGAATTAAAACCTTTATAATTTGCTAAATTAGAAAGTGTGATTGAAGTTGAAATTTTAAAGAAAACTTATAGAATAGCTTTATAAATTTTTTAAAATAAATTTCAACTAAAGAATAAAAATTATGGTAGTAGATGCTCTTATGAGCTAATAAGCAACTTGATTGCCACTTCACAAAAGCCCCTTGAAACACCCAAAAATCATCTCCTTGTCAGGGGCCTCATGGTGAATCAACATGAAACCTCCCTAAATTGGCATTTAACGAACAAATTCAATAAATAAACATGTGACACTACATGCAATACATGTGGCTTGCTACTACTACATGCAATACATGTGGCTTGTTATTATATTGCTAGGCCTTTTTATGATTTCACCATATTCACATGGCTTGGTACATTTTTTTTTTTTTTTTTTTTTTTCAAATTCTTTTGCATTTTATGAGGCAAGATTGGGCACCAAAAGGAATATTTAGATCTACAGAAGAGTAAATGACTTAGGGCTGATTTGGAAGTGATTATGGGAGGATGAGAATCATTTAGTGATTTTTTATTTAAACCTCGCACTTTTCTTTGTTCACCCCAATACTTAAATCATTAAACTTTTAAGTTTTATTACTTGTAAAAAGACAAAAAAGGTTATCCAACTTAATACTTAACCCTTGTACATCTATACACACACCCCATCACTATTCATATTAAGTTTTAGAAAAATACAAACTCCTTTACATCCTATTGCCATATTACTGTTTTCGTTTAAAAATGTAGAACGTTGAGGAGCCTATCTCTTTAAAAGCTGTGTGAGAGTTGATGGAAAGGATTGTTGATTGCTTGGCTATAATAATCTTATTATATTCCCTTTATTTCATATATCCAACTTTTCAGTTGTTGCTTTATGATGGTCACGACTCATGACTCATGAGTACTATGCTTTGATTTCCTGGCAGGATTATGATAGTCTAGTTTCAAGTACACAGTCAACTATCCATTCAAAGCTTGTGGATTTTCAAAATGAACTTGTGGTCTTGATGCATTTTTCAAACACCATATCTCTTATGTTTCTACCAACAGAAAGTCATCCTTTGCCTGAATATCAACGTCGGGAAATTTCCATCGGATCGGTTGAAAAACACTTTGTGCATGTATTATTATAAATTTTTCTATTTATAGCTGACAGTTTTGCCTCATGGAATTTGTTTGTTGTTTTAACTATACATTTGACAACTTTATTTTATTTTAACAGCTACACTTGCAACCACACCATCCTATGCCACCTGTTATCAATCGTTGGCTTGATATTTCCAACCTCAAAGTATTTGATTGGTATAGTCTATATTGAGATCGCATTGACAATTGGAAAGAGCTTATCAATTCATTTGATGTACATCTTGATGTATATTGATCCCTTACTATTAGATGTTTTTGTTACAGTAGTTTTCTTTTCATCCGACCTATTGGGTTTTGTAAACTTTTATAAAGTTTTAAACATGAAGTATCCTTTGCTAATGGACTCTAGTCCTGTAAAAAAAGGTTTTAACTTGCATGTCAGTGGTCTAAGGTTCGAACCCTACCACATACCTCTTTGTCTGATTAGTTAACCTTTTTAACAAGCAATTAAAATAAGCCATGTTATGCAAAGAAGATAATTTGATATTGTACGTTGAGTATTTGATACAAGGGTTGGTTTAATAATGTCAGATAATTGACCTTTTTCTGTTGGGTAAAACATAAAATAAGATGTTGTGGTCATTAGTTCACTGTCATCAGAAAACAAAACCAAACAAACTATAATTTCCCATACAAGATAAACAAAAACAAAAAACAAAAAAACCTTGTGAAAACGACAAAATCTCATGTATACTACAAATATTGTTTAATGATTTAGGTATTTGAGTGAACAAAGAAAACTGTGGGGTTTAAATAGAAAAACTATTTTATTTTTTATTTTTTCAATTGTGGTGTATTTAAGGGTAGGGGAAGATAGTGGAGTTTAAATAGAAAAACTCATCATTTATGGAGAGGATAATCATTTTAATGTGGTTTTCCACATAATTACTTTAATGTGATTCTTCATAAAATAACTTGAAATCACTTAAACTGATTATATAGAGAAGTGATTATTGTCTATCCAAAATCACTCCCAAATGAGCCCCTCTCGTTTGTGAATAGGTTTTTATAAGAAGCACTTACGCTCATAAATCCTTCTTATAAAAGCGTTTTTGTTATAAACAATTAAAAAATTTAAGTGCAAGAACTTTTAAATTTTAAATGCCGTCAAAACTTTTGATTATTTAAAAGCATTTTTAGTCATTCCATGCTTTGAAAAAAACCCCTTAACTTGTTGAGTGGAAAGTGAATAACTTTTCTAAAGGAAGAAAGGTGTACCAAGGGACAAAACTGTTCTCATGAAATAAGCATAATGATGCATGAGAGATCTCTTTGATAATTGCTTTCGCTTTCATTTTTGTCACTCATGGCACTCAAACTCAATTGAAGGGGTTTAATGGGCCCAATACGGCCTGAAATTCAATCATGATTTGCGCTCTTGCTAAGAAATCTAACATGTTGAAGAGAAAAAAAAAAACCTTTTTGTTTTTGGTTTGCCAAAGTTAGGAACGGGGAGGAAGGGGAAACTCTCACACACACAGGGACCATGAGGGTTTAAATCCAGGACCACTTGGGAGCACACCAAAGATCTAATAGTGCTATATTATTCACGAAAGGGTGAATTTCATTTAGAAAAATACTTCTCTTTTGGAGACAAATTAATTAATAGAAAGTTTTTAAAATTGATGTTGGGACAAACTTTGACACTAAATACAAATGTGGAAGACCTCTGACTATGCCTATTGGCAGTGGCGGAGCCAGAAATTTAAGTAAGAGGGGGCACCTTTAAAAATTCAAACACTTTCTTTTATGACAAATCAACCTAGTTTTTAAGAAATCCCTAATTTTATCACTTTTCTCTTCTTCTTTTTCTTTACTTTTTGTATGAATAACCTATCACTCTTTTATGATAACAAAATACATGCAATCCAAAAGAAATTTAGACATAAAAATGAAAGAGAAACAAAGAAAATAGAGGCCATTTAAGAATTTGTGAGGAATTTTATAATATTTGTACAATATACTAACATAAAATTGTATGTACAACAATAGTTGAGAGGGGGCCAGTGCCCACCCTGGGCATGCACCGGCTCCGCCAGTGCCTATTGGTGTTGAAATTGTATATTTTTATTATTTATTTTTAGTTAAAATCTTAGACTATATGTATATTTAATTGGTTTTTTCCCAAATCTTCTCTGGACTACAATCAAGGGTAGCCCTTGCCTTGGTTCCGCCCTTGCCTCATCCGCGTCCGATGCTCCTTCCATTAACCTCGTTTGTTATAACCGTCTCACCTAACAAAATATGCGGTTATGGGATCAAGACCCGTTTGATTGTTTCCTCATAGATTAATGGTATTTGACCCACAGATATTCTAATGGTTAACATATATTCTAATATGATTTCAGGATAGGAGAAGCTTGATGAGAAAAAAGGCATGGACTAGAAAGAAGGGACAAGAGTTTTCTCTTTTATTCCTCTTAGTGTGGAAGGGGTCTCAAAATCCTCCCCTCCTTCCAAAACCTATGTACTATTTATAGGGGGAACAAAATGGATTAATTTACAAGCCGGTCACCTCGGCTCAGAGCCGAGCCATTTATGTCACATTAGATCCGTCAGATGATGGGTGGTCAAGGTTCGTCCACGTCCTCTGCCTAT